TCCATCCAACGAGTTACGGGACAATTTTGTGTCCCGGAACTTTGTTTGGAGACAATGGGACAGGTGACCGAGAAAAGGGACAGGTGACCGAGAAAAGGGACAGGTGACCGAGAAAAGGGACAGGTGACCGAGAAAAGGGACAGTCCCGTTCAAAACGGGACGTATAGTCACTTTAGCTATAACCCGGCGACGGCTCCGTGGCGCAGTGGCTTAGCAATCAGTTGTTGCGCTGGGGGCCGCGGGTTCTACAAATAATTGTTCCGGGTCTGGATGTTTGTCCTAGTGCAATTTATGTTTGTAAACTGCCTCCACGACACAGGAGAAAATCCTAGTGTGAGGGTAACGTTTTTTTACAATTGAAATTGAAAGATTGAACCCTTATACTTCTTGTTGATTTTTGTATTACCTTTATTAAAGTTACCCTTATGTATAAATATATATAATTACGTATGTAGAAATAAAATTGATTTTCATCCTCATCAATCATTGGGGCGAGGATAATGTCTGCCATCATAAGTAATAAGCAGGCTAAGTTACAAGGTGCTCAGTTCAAAAATTTGTAAGGTATGTTCTTTTCAATACGTGACACGTAAAAATTAACAATAATCAAAAACACATCTACGAAACATCCTTATTTATTTATTCTTTATTGCACCAAATATTTGTACAAAAGGCGAGCTATCTATTTATTTACCTATAGTGAATAGGTATCTTTTAAACTCACAATTTTTAATGCTTCATTTTTAATATATAATTAATTATAAAATTTCATAATTAGATAATATATGAAAATACATAATTCTAATATAATGCAACTAATATACCGAATAAAAAAATTAAAATACATTTATCGTTGTACGCCGTGTGTATAAATTCATATTGATGTTGAAAACGATAAATTAGTTTATTGATGTTGAAAAAATAATACTACGTTCTTACCTACAATAGCGCAATATATTGAAGCGAGAGGCGCGCCGCCAGCAAAATGCTCAAGGTCGTCCGCATGGAGTAGCTCCTTAATGAGGATATAGAGACACTGGTAAGAGGCTGTCCGAAATGTTTAGAGAATCGCCATATGCCTCAAAAATCTAGTCATGAATGGATTACACCCACAAAACCATGGTCAAGGATTCATTTTGCTGGACCATATCATAAAAAATATTTTTTAATCATAGTGGACGCATACCCACGCTGGCCAGAATTATTTATGGTAAATAACACTACCTCATCGACAGTTATAAGACTTTTAAGAACAACATTTGCAACACATGGCTTATGTGAAGTGATGGTTTCTGATAATGGACCATCATTTGTCTCTAAAGAAATGAATGAATTCATAAAAGCTAATAACATACGTCATATAACTACAGCACCATACCACCCATCTACAAACGGGTTGGCAGATAGAATGGTACAGACAATTAAGGACAAACTGTCCAAAATGGAGGATCTAGCATGGGACACTAAAATACCAAATTTGTTGCTTGGTCTTAGAGTTACACCATGCACCGCAACCAATAAAAGCCCATCTGAACTACTGATGAAGTGATGTTTACGTACACTTTTAGATACTATACATCCAGATTCAGCAAAAACTGAGAAAATTGAAAAACAAATTATCAATAACAGTCAGAGGAAAAACAGGGAAACTAATGTGGGTCAGGAGATTATGTACCGCAATTATAGCAGTGCTGGCCCAAGATGACTTCCAGGAAAAGTAATTAACAAAAAAGGGCCATCAAGTTATGAGATCAGAACCAATAATGATACAATAATCAATAGACATATTGATCAGTTAATTAAGAAAGGGCCTAATATTAGTTGTGAGGATTCTGAAATGCAAGAGGGACAAAGAATGATTAGAACCACTTAATCAGTAGTGTGTATGTCCTGAGAGTTTAGATAGTGTCAACAATGAAGAAAATCAAGAAAGTAGTCAAGACTCTGATATAATAATTGAGATTCCAGACTCTAATAAATGGGCAGAGATGTTAGGAAAACCACCCACAGCAGAGACAACACTTTCAACAAGTAGAAAGATAAAACATAAGTCAAGTTTACATTCTAAAACACCATATGAAAGATCAAATGCTAATAGAGAAAATATTTATCGTAAGCTTGTATATGTGTATTAATTAACATCTTATATTAGATGTGATTGATTTCAAGTGTTATGTATCTTACTTACTTACTTATCTTCACGCACAATCCCTGACGGGGTAGCCAGAGAGAACAGATCGCCAAGTGTCACGATCCTTACAAACCTCTTTCGCTTCTTTCAGATTCATTATCTTCTTCATGCATGCACGTCTAGGTATCCGAGTACTCTTGACCCTACCCTCTTCGAATAAATATAATAAATATATAATAAATCAGGAATGTCTAGAACAGGTAAATGAAATTGTATACTTGGGGAGTGCTTTTAGCCGGGATGGAAGATGTGATTTAGATGTGGACAGGCGTGTCGCTGCCGGGAACAAAGTTATGTATCTTGTTTAAATAATTAAAATGTTCAGGTTACTTACTAATGGGGAAGGTATGTCATATTCAAAGATTTATTGTTATTCTATTTGGGGGTACTTGTTTACTTTGTTCATTAATAAAGTAAATTGAATGTAGGTAATTTAATATTCACTTATGACACTTGACTTTTATAATGCTACCAAGCTTAATACATAACAATATTCAACCAATGTGTTTTATCCTATATTCTGAATATATTACTGACAAAACTCAAAATCTCCAGACAAACGGCTTCTCGGAAAGTTCGATACAAAATAATAATTTAAAATTGCCAAGCACGGTCACATTCTTCTTCGCCATGTCCCGACAAGATGGCTATCTCTTTCGCCCACTTTAAATCATTTACTGTATTGTTAGTGTGTTGTAAAGCAGTATTTTATTTTGAATGGGGAAGACGAATGTCAAAAAGATATATTTATATGGGAGTTTGTAACAAAAAGTAAAAGCCATATTGATAATAATAGTGAACGGGTTGACAAATGCAAACAGGAAGGGGATTTCAGAAGCGTATTACTCTGTACTTTCTAACTTTGTAACAATTTAGCATTGGAAAGTGCTCCATGTACTGTCCTAGAACTTGACAGTGTAATGAAAAAACTAATGAGTCATCTCAAAAACAGGTTGGATGACAAATTCTTAGGTAGTAGAAAACTAACCTTATTAAGGAATGTTTCCAATAGTGAGAAGACCCTTTTTTGCATCAAAGCTGAACATTTTTAAAACAAGCTATTGAATACTTTTCTGAGAACTCTATATAAAAACTTTTGTTTGTTGTCTTTGCAAGGTTCAAATTTATGTACGTGGGAAGAGTTATCCGTATTGCCTGATGTACTTAATATTCCAAACGTTTTTATTTTTCATATTTATTTCTCCCGACAACAACCCCAAAATCCCGACTTTTTCAAATTTTGTCCAGATATTTTGGCCTTCCTATCTGGCAACCCTATATGCAGTTGCTACTGTCTAGACACAAATTGCAAGAAAAAGACAAGCAAATAGGTCCACTTTCTCCTTAGCAGTATTACAATAACAATTAATAGAGCCAGTGAGCCATCTGGTTTTACCAGCGGTGGCAGTGCTAATTGTGTAGGGGTTCTATGAGATTTAAATATCCTTATTTTTGTACATTAAAATTAAAATTAGAAAGAACTAATATTGCCTTAATTATAATATATATATGTTACTATTAAAAACTACATAAACTAGACAAAAATAGTTAAATGTATTTTGATTAATGAAATTCAGACAAAAGTAGTTTTGGCTGAAAAAATTGATAATAAGAGATTTTGATTGAAATACCTATATTGGTTAAAAGTAATTATGGCTAAGACTAGTAGTGAAAATCACTTATGATCAAGAGTATTTAGTAAAAATAATGTTTTTTATCTAGAATATAAAAATGAATCAGTGAATGTGTTGCTAAGTGCAAATCTCAAGATCAGCTGAACCGCTAATTCTTCTTTTATAACATTCCTTGAAGTACAAAGATAGTTCTTACACAGAGAAAAACTTAAAAAAATTGCTTGAAAAAGTCTAAAAACAACACTTTTCTATATTCCCATACAAAAGATTCGTAATAATACTTAAAATTCAATTTGAACTTTAATACCATACCATAAAGTTTAAGTGTTAGTGGAAGAGTTCTGGGAAGGCAAAACAATTGAGTGACTTTAGTATCATATAAATATTAATGTCAATATTTGTCAATATTTATACACACTGGCAGATAGCTGATGTAATGAGTAATTTGGGCTGCTTTTATTTTAGGTTTCCGCAAAAAATAACTCCATGCGGGCGAAGTCACGGGGAATAGCTAGTGTAATAATAAATTTCAGGGATGTTGTTAGCCACTACTTTCAACAGTGATACCATATCAGCATTATTAAAAAAAAACTTAGATCGACCCTTACTTACATCTGCATCAGTTGCATCAGTTTTTATTAAATACTTTACACTCTGAATGTAAGTGGTACCGCATCCTCATAAACTTCTTCAGTGCTAAGGCTTAGTGATATATATGTAAGTAGATCAGAGACATGAGATCCTATTGGGAACAGTGATATCAATGACAGTAAGTGGTTGGCCCAGGACCACCCCAGCCGCACCTCGGGGTTATGACATGGGTTGCACTTCCCCTCTCCCTCTACTAATTAAAAATGTTTGTACAAAAAACTTCAAATAGCCACTCAATTATAAAATTTTGTAAGGTTATGAAATAGTAATATGTATATCAAAGGAGGTGGAAGAGTGCGGTAGGGTGGTGACCCTCTTCCTTCAACCCTCCTAATTCATATTAAAGGGTAGGTAATCTAGTCTTTTCCAAACCAATACCAATGAATAAGTATTGGCCACAAACCTTATATTGTGGCTACTCACTCTACTACTACTACTACAACTCACATTCACAGCATATACTAAGGCAGGCATGTTTGCACAATAGATAAGTGATTTTACAAGCAAAATTAATATATAAATACCTTTTTTTAGTCTGTTCTGCATTAGAATTTCATACTTCAAGTCTTTAAGTGTACTGTTCATACGCCGTATATCTTTAGCACTAGGTAACCGTGTCCCGTGGCGTACCATCATCCATATTTTGGCATCCTTACAATCTTAAGAAATATAAACATAAATAAATTGACATTTAAATTGATACATAGTGTTTTTAATTATAGATTTACTTACGGTTATATTTTATTTTAAAAACTTGCTCATTAGATTTAAATCTATATGGTGTTCTTGTACCTAAGTGATTACGAATTTCATCAATTTTTATACTCGATGTTATACTAAAGATATAACATAAAATTGAAAACATTCCCCAAAAATATAACATGCTTATATTATATAAGATTATATAAGAAAAGCTTCCTGTATATTTATTATTATTTATTATTATTATACTCTTTGCCAAAAGCTTTGTAATTTAATTTATTGAATTTATTTCAATTTCGAAAAACGGTGAATTTTTGTTGGTTTTTTTTATAACTGGCTTTACGGCTCTGGGTTCTAACCCTTCTGAGCCTAGTTACAATGAATAATTATCCTTCACAGTACACTGCTTCACAATAATATGCTGATGCGTCACATTGTGCAGTCCTTGGGAGATTTTGACGGTAACTTGATCCAGCAAACAGCTGTCAGTAAGCGATGGTATCTCAAGGCGCCGAAGCAGACGAAAAGCTTATCTTGAGAATCACATCATCATCAGAGCACTTGTTTCACCGTTTCCACTAATAGTTCGCATGCGGAGACACTTAATACACAAAATCGCACCACTTTTACATATCATAATCCACTTCAAACTATTATTTAAACAATAATACAGTAGCAGCAACCGCCGCTGGTCAAGTTTCCGCCAAAACTTCAGCGCTACAATAGTACTGTGGATATTAGACGCACAAAGCACAAAAATGGGTATATGTGACGAATAACATACTACCTAAGGAATAAATGTGTATCATGGCTCTATGACTAGAGATGACACGTATTTACGCTACCAGGTTTTCACTTCAAAGTACGGCGCCAAGGTACGAGCAAAAAATACTTGCAAGTATGTGCTATAAGTCGGACGTGTCAAGAAATTGAAACACTAGATTTGAAAATACTTGCGATCTAGCAGATCTAGAAAAAACGATCCATACATTTATATGAATAAGGAACACAATCGTATTTGCGATTAAAAAATACTTCGAACTTCCAAGTATTTTTTTTTTCACTTATACCATTGTGCTCCTTATTCATCATAGGATAACAAGGAATACGGATCGATTTCCTATGCAAGTACGAGTATTTTCATTTTGTTTGTTTTCAACAGACACAATGGCCTGGTCGGATCCTTTGTTAATATATTTGCAAATATATGTAATTGCCTGAACTGATTGACAAAACTTGACCTTGATATGTGCATTAAAGCTTCTGAACAGTACGAGGGAATATGGAACTACCCATTTATTATCAACAGTGACCTCCTCTCCTCTAACTCTCAATATCATTGTATTGCCACCGTCTTCAGGGCTTCTACGACAATAAACTGGATAACCATCCACTCCCATTCCCGTCAACTATAAGTTGCCGTGGGTATTTCTTACTGCAAATTCCATTTGTCATGCAGGGAGAATTTATGTTATGTTTCCCACATGGGCCATATTTTTAAACAGGATATCAAATAATAAGGGATCCCGTTGGGGATCTGGAAGCTCAGCAGATTATGTATTTTTAACATTCTTAACCTAAAAAGTGAGGATCTAAATTAATGCAAAATGTTAAAAGTAATATGTATAACAACTAATATTTAACAATTGTATTGACATTTAAATGCAGTCTTAACCATTTATTTTTATACAGTCGGCTCAAACTAATAAAGTAACTAAGCTACGTAAACATGTACAACAAATATCCAGCAGTTATAGTGGCGGATTTATTTTTATACACCTAAACAAAAAAAATTAGTCCACTCAAACTAAGTAAATAAACACCTAAGTACCTAAAATTAATTTGTATAACAACTAATATTTAACAATATTTACTAAATTTTAGTCCGCTCAAACTAAGGAAATAAACACCTATTCACCAAAATTAATGCAAAATGAGACATATATAATGTGTATAACAACTAATATTTAACAATATTTACTAAACTTTAGTCCGCTCAATCTAGAGAAATAAACACCTATGTACCTAAATTAATGCAAAATGAGACAAAAGTAATATGTATTTTAACTAATATTTAACAATATTTACTAAATTTTAGTCCGCTCAAACTAAGGAAATAAACACCAATTCACCAAAATTAATGCAAAATGAGACATATGTAATGTGTATAACAACTAATATTTAACAATATTTACTAAATTTTAGTCCGCTCAAACTAAAGAAATAAACACCTATCATCATCATCATCATCATCATCATTACAGCCCTTCACAAGTCCACTGCTGAACATAGGCCTCCCCCAAAGAATGCCACAAAGCACGGTCCTGAGCCACCTGCATCCATCGACTTCCTGCATGTCTTACCAGGTCGTCACTCCATCTCGTGGGGGGACGCCCTACACTTCGCCTGCCGGTACGAGGCTGCCACTCGAGAACCTTTCTTCCCTATCGGTTGTCGGTTCTTCGAGCTATATGGCCGGCCCATTGCCACTTCAGCTTACTAATCCGTTGGGCTATGTCGCTTACTCTGGTTCTACTGCGGATATCCTCATTCCTAAGTTTGTCACGCAGAGAAACTCCGAGCATAGCACTCTCCATAGCTCGCTGAGCGACCTTGAGCTTCCTCATCCGGCCAGCAGTGAAGGACCACGTCTCAGTTCCGTATGTCATCACTGGCAACACGCACTGGGTGTACAGTCTCGTTTTCAAGGTTTGAGGTATACCTGACGAGAAGATGTGCCGTAATTTCCCGAACGCTGCCCAACCGAGTTGAATCCGTCGATTGACCTCTCGGTCGAAGTTGGACTTACCTAGTCGGACTATTTGTCCCAGGTAAACATACTCGTCAACAACTTCGAGCTTAGTGTTCCCAACAACTACCGGCATAGGTGTGACATGGACATTAAACATGATCTTAGTTTTGTCCATGTTCATCTTAAGACCTATCCGTTGGGAAACACTATTGAGGTCATTGAGCATAGTGCTTAGGTCCTCCAGCGATTCTGCCATAAGGACTATATCGTCGGCAAATCGAAACTGAGTGATGTACTCGCCATTGATGTTGATACCGTATCCTTTCCAGTCCAGAAGCTTGAAAACGTCTTCCAATGCAGCGGTGAAGAGTTTCGGGGATATGACGTCACCCTGTCTTACACCTCTATGCAATTGGATAGGTTTCGTACTCTGGTTCTGTACTCGGATAGCCATCGTAGCCCTACTGTACAAGCACTTCAACACTTCGATATACCGACAGTCAACTTGGCACCGCTGAAGGGACTGCAGCACCGCCCAAATTTCGACGGAATCAAAGGTTTTCTCGTAGTCCACATACGCCAGACATAGTGGCAAATTGTACTCTTCGGACTTCTGTACAATTTGCCGAAGGGTATGTATGTGGTCTATGGTGCTAAAGCCTTTTCGGAAACCGGCTTGTTCGGGAGGCTGGAAGTCGTCAAGTCTCCGCGCGAGACGATTCGTAATGACTCTCGAAAACAGCACGTAGACGCGGCTCAGAAGGGAAATCGGTCTGTAGTTCTTCAAGAGAGCGTTGTCACCTTTCTTGAAGAACAAGACCACCGCACTTCTGCTCCACGCCTCCGGTGTAATGCCACCATGGAGGACGGAATTAAAGAGCTTCTGAAGGACTTCAAGTACCGGTTTTCCACCCGCTTTCAGAAGCTCCGCTGTAATTCCATCCTCGCCTGGGGCCTTACCGTTTTTAAGGTGCTGGAGAGCCATTCTAATCTCGCTCAGACTGACGTCCGGGATATCTTCGGAATAGTGTCGGATGAGACTCGCTCTTGGATCGTTACTCACACTTGCGTGTGGCTCCAACGATGACGTGTAAACTGCCCATAGAACCTCTCAATCTCACTCAAAATCTCAGGTGTCCCGGAAACGATGCTGCCACATTCTGTCTTCAGCTTTGACAGTTGGCTCTTTCTCTGGCAAAGACTTTGGAGCTTTGGTTCCGCTCGATCGCTTCTTCAATACGAGCTGTATTGAAGTTGCGTAAGTCTCGCCGCATGCATTTGGAGATCTGTCTGTTCAGATGCCTGTATGCTGTCAAGTCTGTTGAAGAATGTAGCTTCATCTCCCATCTAACAGTCATGAGATTAAGAGTGTGATCGGAGAGTTTTTGTGTTCTTCTGCGGCGGGTCTTGCAGAACTTAGCTCCGACCGCATGGATAGTTTCCACGAGCTTGTCATTCATATCGTCCACTTCATTGCAATCTTCTAGGCACTGAAAACGGTTTTGTAACTCGAGCTCGAGGTTTCGGGACTTTGGATTAGAGCACGAGGGGAACGGAGCGTTGACTTTATTAGACGAGACCTCTCCAACTTAACGTTTAGGTTCAGTGTGCCTCTAACCATTCGGTGATCGCTGCCAGTTTTCACCCTCGCGATCACGGAGACATCACTGAACAGTTGTCGTCTGGTCGTCATAATGAAGTCAATCTCATTTTTTGTCGAACCGTGAAGTCGGCCAGCTGCTGGCCCCTTGGGTTCCGTTGCCCTATTCCAAATTTCCCTACTTTCAGCTCACCGTTCTCTCTTGTGCCTAGTTTTGCATTGAAGTCTCCCATTAACACCGTATATTGGGTTTTGGAGGAATGCATGGCTCTAGAGATATCCTCATACATTTCCTCCACCTCCTCATCGGGGTGTGCCGAGATTGGTGCGTAAACCTGTATGACCTTCAGCGAATGCCGTTTGGTGATTCTGAATATAAGGTACGCAACCCTCGTCGACACACTCCCGATCTTTACAACGTTGTTACCGAGAGACTTGTGGACGATAAATCCGACACCTCCTTGGGACAGATGGTCGCCCTCCCGGTGATAGAGCAAGTTGCCGGATTCGAGGATTACCGTGTCCTCCCCCTCTCTTCGGACTTCGGATAATCCTATAATATGCCAGCGCAACTTGTCTATCTCTTCTTCCAGCTCCACTATCTTCTCGTCAGTCCTCAGGGTGCGTGCGTTGTACGTTGCCAGGTCGAGTCGTCTAAGGTGGCAACCGAACCTCCACCGGAAATTCTTAGCACCCCCTACCCCGCCGTTACCATGGTCGCCACCGTAGCCAGGAATAGCGGGGCCGCCGGGGACTGGGGGCCGTTTCTTTGTTACTGTCATTCATAGGGGGGTAACACAACACCTATGTA